TATCCAGCTTCTCGTCCACTGTGACCCCTAGGTCCTTTTCTGCAGAACTGCTACCTAGCCATTCGGTCCCTAGTCTGTAGCAGTGCATAGGATTCTTCCGTCCTAAGTGCAGGACTCTGCACTTGTCCTTGTTGAACCTCATCAGGTTTCTTTTGGCCCAATCCTCCAATTTGTCTAAGTCCCTCTGTATCTGATCCCTACCCTCCAGCGTATCTACCACGCCTCCCAGTTTAGTGTCATCTGCAAACTTGCTGAGAGTGCAGTCCACACCATCCTCCAGATCATTAATAAAGATATTAAACAAAACCGGCCCCAGGACCGACCCTTGGGGCACTCCGCTTGAAACCGGCTGCCAACTAGACATGGAGCCATTGATCACTACCCGTTGAGCCCGACCATCTAGCCAGCTTTCTATCCACCTTACAATCCATTCATCTAGCCCATACTTCTTTAACTTGGCGGCAAGAATACTGTGGGAGACCGTATCAAAAGCTTTGCTAAAGTCAAGGAATAACACATCCACTGCTTTCCCCTCATCCACACAGCCAGTTATCTCCTCATAGAAGGCAATTAGACACACTTATCTACTTTATACACCCACATGTTCAAAGTCCATCAAACCAATACAAACTCGGATCTAACCCCTGCTCGTGTTACTTGCAGCAACAGTCCCATTGACATCAGTGGCAGAGCTCTCTTGAGGGAGGCAAGCAGGATTTAATCCAATTTAGAAGGCTAAATGTGATTTTATCAAACCCCCCATAGAAAGCTGAGGGATCTTTACAGACCTGACCCTGTTCAGTACTCACTCACACCAGCCACCAAGTCATAGAAGTTTTGTGTAACTAAAGACTAAAAAATTAAGTCTTATGTCTGCCAGACACTGAAGTGGATATAACCCATTAGTGGAAACCCCATCCAGTGGCCTGGACACTGTATCTATGAACTTTGCCTCTTATCCCAGCTAAGATCTTTTTGATCTATACGTGGCAGTTCTGTGTAATGCAGCAGAAATGGAACATTCTTCCTGGGGTGGGTCACTAGGTGCTGGTGACAGCAGAAAGCTGCTTCTCTCCAGTTCTTACTTGTGAAACAAAAAAATCCCTCCTCTTTGCTGAAAACAATGGTGCCACAGTGCTTTGCTATCTGCTGCGTACTATCTGCAGGCATACATCATTCAGGAGCGTCAAAGGTAAGCAGCAGTCTTCCTGCACGAGCATGACTAACTGATGGCTACCAAGGCTAATAACTGAGCTGGGCCCCTCCCACGCCTATGTGTAACTACTGTATGAGCACCAGGATGACAAAGATGCAGCCTGTGGTGCCCCTGACTGGGCTGTCACTGCCCCTTACTCAAGGCTTGTAAAGTGGCTCTGTGGAGAAGGGCCCAGGCCACAAAGCTTGGATTTGGATCCCAGCTTCCCCACATTTTTAGGGACGGTTCGGATACAGGATTTTGGTTCCGTCCAATATAGACAGAGGAGCCAAAATCCTATCGACTTCAGTATGGCCAGGATTTCACCCAGGGAGTTTGTTCGGGTTTGTCTATTTGAAAGGATGGCGGATCCACAGGTCCCTCAAGACCGAGCACTGTAGGAGTTATGAGCACCTGCCAGACAGCTCTTGCAAGGAGGATGGTGGTGGAGCCTTTCATTGGTGAAGGTGTTAAAAGGGGCTTGCAGTGAGGGAGTTGGGGGGAACATATCTGAGCAGAGGGCACAGAGCCCATGATTACAAAGGCAGACTGCCCTGGTGAATGCCTCCCACTGGGCTGATCAGAGGTGCGGCTCTCATAAATTGCTGCTGCTGAAACCAGTAGCCCGTGTTACTTTGAATCCTTCTCATGGCCAATAGGAGCAAAGGTGCAGCTCAGACATGCTCCTAGTAACTAAACGAGTAACTACATGAGTAACTAAATGAGTGAATCCAGGATTAGTGCAGCCAGCCATTCCCCCAGGTCTAGAACAAAGAACACCTGTCCAAGTCTAGAGCAATTCCCCTCCCGGGCCTAGATCAGATTGCCTACACAATCCTTGCATATCTGCACACACAGGCCTAGAGCAACCTCTCCGCTCAGCCCTACAGCAACCTACCCATGAAGCTACCAAGACCCAGAGCAGCCCACTGACCTGCTCTTTGAGCAGCTGTCTCATCCTCCCACCCAGGCCTAGCCCACCCAACCCAATTGTCCACCCTCCTAGCCCAGGGCAACTTTCCTCCCAGTCCTGGAGTAGCCTACCCAGATTCCAACCAGCCCAGACCTAGAGCCAGGCATCCTCCCAAGCCCACAGCAACCTTTCCATCTTCCCACCCAAACATACAGTAATCCCACCCACTAGTCCAGGCCTCAAGCATCCCCTTTCCTCCTACGCCTACAGCAACAACCTGCCCTAGAGAAATCCACCCACTCATCCTTTCCAGACCTAGAGCAATCCATCAGTCCCTTCTCTGAATGCCCAAAGCAACCTTCTGCCCAATCCTGGAGCAACCTATCAAAGCACTCACCAGGTTTAGAGCCTCCTTTAACTGTATGCCTGATTTTTTTTAACTGCTATTTCTATTAGCAAAGAAATTCTAACTAGTGACCAAATTACTGGGGTCACTGCCACTATCTGTTCACCTTCAGAGGCATGTGCAGGTTCATCGCCCATTGCGCTTTTCCTCTTTGCCTGTCTCCATCACACAACACAACACAGACGGGTTCCATGAGGAATGAGATAAGTGCACAAGGGCCTTGTCTACACTGGACTTTCTTTGGAAAATTCCCCCCTGTTGCTACCGTCAATGCCGTAGTGCAGATGGCCCAGCAGTCCCTTAAGGACCATGTTATCGATGCCTGCCCACACCAGGTCTAGATGGCAAGGTGGCAGCTACCTTTGCCCCATCTGTATGAGTGCCCCACCTTTACTGCCATTGGTGGAACAGAGCCACTGGGAGCAATGGTGGGAAATCTTAAGAAAAAAGTTGAGTATCAACAAGACCAGTGACAGGGAATGCTACCATCATGGCTCCTAGGCAGGAAGCATGTAGGGTTTGCCAGCTCTCAGCCTCTCGATCCTCTTCTCTAGCCCCAAGCTACTGCCTTGACTGAGTGAGATTTTTCACCCTCCAGTCCCCTGTCATGCTCGCTCATCCTGCCACTACAGACTTCACCCTCCGCTTTTCCCCTTCCAGCACTCCCTTCGGGACACCCCACCCTGCCTCCTCCGGTTCCTCTTCCAAGCCCTCACCCATCCCACCTGTCTTCTCCCACGCTGCCACCTTGCCCACCTTCCCCTCATAGTCTCAACCTGCTCACTCTTTCCTTCCTCCCACCTGCCCGCCCTAACCACCCTTTCCCCTTCCCCTCACTCCCACTGCACACCAAGCCCATGCTCCTCTTTGCCATCCTCCTCACTGTGCCCACACCCCCTCTCTCGTCACAGTGCTATCCGATGCTCCCCAGTGTCCCCACACATTCCCCTCCCACCAGCCATACACAGAGACCCAGCATAGAACGTTAATTCATACAAGAGATAGGCAACATTGGGGAGCATTTTGTTTCATCTTCCCCTCAGGCCCCAGCATCTTCTTTTCTCTCCCCCTCAGGCCAGCAGCTGCCTTGCCCACAACCCTTATCCAACCCACACCCACCCTTGTGACAGCGAGTCCTGCTGATCACGCTGGGAAGAGTCAGATCAACACCCAGTCACCCAGCAAAGTGGAGTTTGATCTCTAACTAGCCACTTCCCACTGCTACCGCACCAGCTTTCATGCAGCAAGCAGAAGCATTTACTGGTCAATTAGGAAAAATAAAAACAAACCCCAAATATTCCTTACATATGGTTAAAAATTTGTTTGGGGGAGGAGGGTGCAGAAGAGAGGGAATGAAAGGTACAAACTTGTTTGCCAAACTCTCCAAAGGAGTACTAACTCCTGGTAAGTTTAGCGTCAAAGTTCCCTATTAACAAGAATGGTTATTATTCAAACACCCTGGCTCCCAACACCCCAAGCCTCTGGTGGTTCCAAAGACAAGTCCAGAGCCAGACCTGCACTTCACAGCTCAGGCCCATGTCCATTTCCAGACACTGCGCAATATGAAGCAACAGCTTTTCCCCTTTTCCTCCCCATATTTCTTTACATGGAATAATATTTAAAAGAGTTTGGCTCTACAAAATGCGGTTCAAGTCTACCAGAAAAAACTGGATTCTAAAAGAAGTTGAATGGGCTTTGGGGCACCAGTGTTAAAATCATCTCCCCCTCTGAGGAGAAGAGACTGGAGCAGCAGGGCTGGGCTGTAACATTTCCTCAATTGGCTAGTGTACAATACTGGGACAAAGGGACAACCCAACACAGGGACAGCTTCATTGTGGTGTCACAAACCACCACCATGTGTGTGCATGAGAGAGACCAAAATCGCTGCATTTAATCGATTTGGGGAAAACTTAGCAAGAAAGTGTTTTAAAAGGGGTGAATTAGGTGCATTTTGCCAGCAAATGACAGAAGAATAAATAACAAAGAGTCTATAGGTTTTCTTACTCTTCCGCAGAAGCACAGCCTAGAAAACTGCATTGTTGGGATTTGATTTCAAACACACCAAGACACGGCTGGTGTCTGTGTTGACACAACTTCAGTTGACACAATGCAGGCTTTACGGTTTTTATTTAACCAGGAAGTTATCTGCCAGAACATGTCAATCTCCATTTTTTAAAAATTCAGATGCAATAAAATAATACAGGTGTCAACAATGGGGAAAAATACACAACGCCTAGAATACACCACCAGAGCCTCTCCCCACAACCAAATACCCCACACAGCATCAATTGTGTTGAATGGTTTCCTTCCCTTAAATACAGTCTCGGCAACAATAAAGGAAATTTAAACAGAACACATGGCTGTTTGTAATGTTCATTGCAGGCAGCTTTAAGAAAGCAACCATAGGCCATTCCTCTCCCAGCTGAACAACACAAGATAAGGCACCAATTGCACTGACAGCCTGATAGCAAAAATAAAGGCATTACCTGCACTTTGTCCTGTCATACTGCACCCGACTGTCCACCTTCGAGGTCTGGTATTGTCATCAAAAGCAACCTCCCCTCCAAGCTTAGTCCATCTGCAAGCTTCCCATTCTCTGTGGAGAGCAGCTTCTTGACCTCCAATCCTAACATTAGTAGCTTGGATGCTTCACTGCCTCCTTGCTGTTCCCTAGCCCATGTCGTCACCAGGTTTTGGCTGCATTCATTGGCGGAGAGAGAGCAGATAATAATACTACTAATAGCACTGAGAGGGCTGGAATAGGCAAATCTTTTGTTTCAAAGCAGGAAACACAGGGAAAGCTGAAGTGGGAGAGGGAATATAGAAACTTGAATAAAATAACACAGGAGTGGTGTAAGAATCTCCTCACTTGCAGCAGGTTAAAAAAAAGCAAGTGTCCCAATCCGGAAGTGTGTATACATGCGTACGTATGAACACACACACACACACACACACACACACACACACACCTTTATATGCAGCACCATCCCCTTCATTCATATGTTTATTTTGAAGGATAAATGGATCCCAATGCCATACAAAACTACTTCCTAAGCCCAGCAAAGGAGGGAATATTGAGGCATTCAACTTTTTACACTCTTTTTTTCCCTCATGTGAATTCAGTGTTGGTTTAGGGTGCTGGATTTACAGCCATTGACAATGAAGACAACTGTTTATCCATAGAACACACATTGAGCACAGGCAGGAGTACTGCAAGTTTCCCCAACATTGTCCTGTCACTATACCTCAAGCCAGAACTGCAGGGATAAGAGGGTAGTTCAGTATTCTGGGCTCTTTCAATCCTTGGCCTTCATCATATTAAAGGTATGTCTGACTTACATCTGTAGGTTTTGGTTGGCCCGTGGCACTGGTTTCTCTTTGTCCAATGAGAAGGTGAAAATTTCATGAAACTTGCCTAGGTTTCCACAATAAGCCACTTTGCTAAACGTCATCCCCATGTGTTGCTGAATTCTATATGCTTTTGCTGCAGCAGTTCTTTTTCTACACAAACTTCCAGCCAGTCCTGAATAAAGAGGACACTTTTGTGCAATGAGCCATGGACTAGTCCGAAGAGATTCCTATTTCCCCCTAGTGTCTTTTCAGATTATTTTTTTTTGCTCTTTCTTTCTGTTTAGGATTTTAAAGCACTGAACTCTGGCTTGAAGAATTAAATCTTCCGAGACAGTCGGATCCATTTTGCCACTTCTCCAAAACCAACGAGTTGGATTCCTACTGACAAGATAGGTTTGAAAAGCAGAAAACCATCCCATTTTAGTTACAATACTGATGATAATGACCTTACATTTATACTGAGCCTTTTAAAACCATATATTGACATCACTTTGGCAGCCATTAAAATGTGCCCACCTCTGGGATGAAGCACAGTGCCTGAGCCTTCTGGGATGAAGCACAATACAACAGCCACAATATGCGACAGTTTGGGGCAAAAAATGAAGAATACCTTTTCCTGGATGAAACTTCAGGAGAAATTTACGCAAGCAAAATGTAATTACCCAAGTCAAAATATGACCAAGATAACAAGCACTCCCCATCCTACAAAGCACCATGTGGTCTTTAATGACCACATGTAGTCATGCCTGAGTTGTACAACTCATTCAGAAGACAGCTCCTCCAGTAGCAACACCATGCTGGGTCACTGAATCAATTCTGACTCAGAAGAGCAGCCCTTACTGAACGGCTATCACCACTTCCTGCTGCACACAGAGGTTTCGCAAGTCTTCTATCCACAAAGTACTAATCTAACCTAATGCTGATTAGCTTGTGAGACCTGACATGATCACAGTATATGGTGTGCAGGGCCGGTGCAACCTATTAGGCGACCTAGGCGGTCGCCTAGGGCGCTAGCATTTGGGGGGCGGCATTTTCTTCGGCGGCGACCGCAGCAGCCGGATCTTTGGCCGCCCCGGTCGTCGTCGGCATTTAGGCGAAGGGAGCTGGAGCAGGGGGGCGCAGGGAGGGCCACCTGCAGCAAGTAAGGGGGGAGGGGAGCATGCAGGGGAACTCCCTGCCCCAGCTCACCTCTGCTCTGCCTCCTCCCCTGAGCACACCACCCGGCTCTGCTTCTCTCCCTCCCAGGGTTGCAGCGCCAAACAGCTGATTGGCACTGCAAGCCTGGGAGGCGGGAGAAGTGGAGCAGCGATGGCATGCTCGGGAAGGAGGAGGAGCAGAGGTGAGCTGGGGTGGGGAG